ACAAAAAAAAAAAAAAAAAAAAAAAATAGGCATGTTAATTTCCTCAGCTCTGAGGCTGAGGTCCTGCCAGGGTCTCCTTGTTCCTGCCAGCCTGCCATGCCCAGTCTCCTGTGGTGACAGCTGTCACCTCAGCCTTTCACCTTCCCAGTTCCTTCATTTGCCTGAGGTAGACCCTCTTTTTAGAGCACCACATTTAAGTAAAAAGTAATAAAGACTAATGCCTTAATCCAAGCTGATTTTAAGGGGAACATTTAAGAGTATAAAGAATAGATGTGTTCTGTAACTTTTGACTTTTATACCATAAGTCTCTGACTTATGAATGAGTTCTATTCCAGGAGAATTGTTCATAAGCAAACCAAGTGAGTTTTATACAGTACGTCTGTGAAAGTTCACAACTTGGATGTTCATTAAGTCAGGGACTTACTGTATAGCAAACATCCTACCACAGTATCTAAGCAGGAGCAGTCTCTAATAGGGAGCCGATTCCTAATGTTCTATCATACCTGTTGTCATCTCTTTAAATAGCAGTGAGGGAGTAGCTCCAAATCAAAATAATCTTCCTGTAACAATAGTGAGTGAGCCATCATGGTGGCACATGTCTGTGTTCCAGCTACTTGGGAGCCTAAAGGAGGAGGATACTTGAGCACAGGAGTTCAGACCAGCTTGAATAGTACAAAAGACCCTGCTCCAAAAATAAAAAATAAAAAGACATGTAAACCATACTGAAATTTAAGAGAATGAGAATCAGACAGGTAGGACCATATTGAATCTGGGAGAGTAGTGAAGAAAATTCCAAGTAGTAATCAAGAGATAGCTGTAATGTGTCATGAGATTTTATAAGCATTCCTTAACTGAAGACCTTGACAATATTGGGCATTCCTTTGAAGATATATTGCAGTCTTAAACATTTATATTATAGCCTCAGTGTATGTTATTGTACCTTCCAAGTGAACTTTCTTTTTTCCTTTGGCAGTACTGAGGTGTGAGCCCAGGGCCTTTGTACTGAGCAACATCCCTAGCCCTGTGTAAATTTCCTTTTATTTTGAGGCAGGGTTTCAAGTTGCCCAGGCTGTATTGAACTTGCAATCTTCCTGCTGATAGGGAAAGCTTTTGCGAATAACCAAGACCTACAAAATATTAAGAAAATATAGAATGACTTCTGCTGTGTCTGACAGCAGTCTGCTTTGTTTAGTTCAACATTAACAGACACCAGAGACATTAACCGTAGAATGGGATATCTGGCCTCTTCCTAGTATAACAGGACACATCAAGACCCCAAGCTCCAAAGGTTTGCAAACCACATGATTGTAAAGGTCAAGATGAAAAAAAACATGTTAACTTTGCTTTCCTGACAGGGATAAGCCTCTTGCCCTGGGCTAGAAGAGATAGCTAGATGAATCCTAAAAGAATTACTGCATCTAGATTAAAAGTTAACTGTCTTGGGATTTTGATTCGTGTGTCAATAAATGTAAACTGAGGAAATGCAGTGTAACCACATGAATGAGATCATGACCATGAAAACCAATAAAAGAAGGAGCTGTAACCCAATGTGTGGTCATTCTCTGGCACTGCTCTTAGTGTGATCGGCCTTTTGTCAACAAAATAAACCTTTTATTATTTTACTTCCATTCTGCATCTCTGTGTACGTGTCACTTAGTGATTCCTTCCACACCACTGCCTCAGCCTCTCAGAGGGCTAGAGTTACAGGTGTCGCATGCACTGTCAAGCCCTGTTTTTATTTTGTTTTGTTGTGTTGTGTTTTTGCTTGTTTGTTTTCTTGAGACAGGGTCTTACTAAGTCGCTAAGTTGCCCTGATTAATACTTGCAGTCCTGCCTCAGCCTCCAGAGTACCTGGGATTACAGGTGTGCATAATTGCACCCAGCTTAGGAGTTAACCTTTTATTCCACTAAGAGGCCCCGTATGTTTTATTGTGTTGTGTGAAGTCTAGGATGAATTATGAAATATGAAACTATAACAACTAAGAAACAAAATAGTAGTCATCCAAAAATAATGCCAAATAAAAATCAGCATTGTAGTGACAAAAACAGTGTCATGTGGGAAAGCTCAGAATCTCAGACACAGTGTCTTAGATGTCTTTGCCACCCACTTTTGGGCAGCCTGCTACTTAGAGTCATCTTTATATTTTAGTGTGTGATTGAAATGACAAGTCCAGGTTTTTTGGCTTGAAAACATACTCTAACAAAAATGTAAAGTACTGTATCAGAAAAATATGTAGTAGAACCACCCTAGCAGTAGTAATCAAGACTAAGAAGCCTTCATAATATGAATTTAAAATTCTCTGGACTCAAGGACAGGCCCAGGTCTCTTTTGAAAGAATCTGCCACTAGGCCTTGTGGCACATACCTGTAACCCCTATACACAGGAAGCAACAGCAGAAGGATCACCAAGAGTTTGAGGTCAACCTAGGCTACATAGCAAGACCTTGTCTCAAAAAACAAAAACAAAAACATAGAAAAAGAAACTGCCAAGTTTTTCTTAAACATGTCTGGTTAATATCACAGCACCTGAGAGGGCTGTTAACTGGATACTTACAGGCATGAGCTCTCTAGTTAGCACTCAGTCTTTAGGTCTCTTAAGGCTGGGGATGCAGCATAGTGGTAAACCATGTTTGCCTAGCATGCATGAGACCCTAGGTTCAGTTTCCCATGGAGGGAGGGCAGTGTGCAGCATCATTCAAAGGACCTTGCCCTTCGCACATGCAGCTCTCTGCCCTGGAACTTCCCAGAGAGATCACGTGCAGAGCTGTCAGGGAGGTCTTGTTCCTCCCTGTCCTCTGAGCTCCTTCACTTGTACCAGCTGTTTGGAAAGCACCTGCACAGTTATCCCCTTTTGTGATGGGAGATTACTCTCCAGGGTATCTTGACTTGCTTGTTCCATATTTTGGAGATAATGATTTTGATTTGTTATTCCTGTGACTCACTTTCCTCCTCCAGCCTCTTTCTTTTATTCTCTTCTTTTTTTTCATAGCTTGACACAGCAACTACAGGAGTCCACCCTGCCCTCCCTGTTGCATGGATGAGGGACCAGGTGTGTTTCCTTCTGAAGCTTATGCCACAGCAGTGTCAAACACAGTATGAGCTGGAGAAGCTCTTACAGCTGTTTGTTGGAGCAGAGCATCTCTTCTCTGATGGTAAGGCAGTCCTTGCCCTGAAGTTGCCCCTAAGAAGTAGCTTCCTTAGCTGGGCATAGTAGTGCACAATTGTAAATCCAGCACTCTGGAAGGCTGAAGCAGGAGGATTGAAAGTTCAAGCCCAGACTGGGAGACTTAGTGAAACCCTGTCTCAAAATGGATTATTAAGGTTGGGGATGTAGCTCAGTGTAAAAGGCCTGGGATCAATCACTAGTACTACAAATACACAAAAAAAATAGTTAGCTTTCTTAATCTTAAAAATATTTTAGGAGAGCAATCAGGAGATGAGAATGCATACAATAGGTAATACTACATTTATAAACTAGAACCAAGTGGGAAGAGTTACAGATAACTTCAAATTTGGGTTGAAACATTTAAAACGTGATACAACAGTACCTGATATAAAAAATACAGCCAGTTTTCTTATTCCAAACAGTTGTCAAATAGGGCTGTTTCCCCTTCGCCAGCCCCTGCATTAACATGTTACTGTCATTCTTCTATCTGTTGTCATTGGCCAGGGTTACAAACTCTTTTTCACAAATGCATAATTTATTTTGAAAGGTTGAGAGGTAAGTTATGCATTTTTCTTCCAAAATCTTCCAGATTTTGGCAGTTTCTAACCTTGATGCTTATTTAATCAAAAAATATTGTCTTATTATTTTACACCTGTTTATAATTTCAGGATTTTTTTAAATGATGATGATATTCCTTTATACTAGATTTTCACTGCCCCTTTGTATTAGATTTTCACTGAGCTGCATTCCAAGCCCTTCTTATTATTAAGACAGAGTCTTGCTGAGTTTCTCAGGCAGGCCTTAAACTTGCAATCCTCCCTCCACCTCCCGAGTGCTGGGATTACTGCAGTACGCCACTGCACCCAGTTTCTGGCAGATTTTTTTTTTTTTTTCAGAACTAGGGATTATAGTAAGATCATCACCTGTGAGGCAAGCGCTGTACTACTCATCTGCATCCCCAGTGCAATTCTGTTTTGAGTCAGTGTCTTACTTTGTAGTTCAGGCTGGCCTCAAACTCAGCGATCCTCCTGCCTCAGCTGCTGGGATGCAGGCATGCACCACCATGCTGACTCCAATACATTTTGTTTATTTAATTTTTTGCAATACTTGCATTGAAAGAAAGATTTCATGCATGCTAGACAAGTGCTGAGCTACATCTTTGACCCCTTTTTCTGGCAGATAATTTTTTTTTTTTTTTTTTTTTTTT